TATTCATCGTGCCAACCGAGCGCTCAGCAACAAACTATTTACTAGTACGTGTCGTCCCGTCAACCACACTGCCCAAATGCGAAAGTGGAAACACGACTCACCGTGACGTCACTCAGTAGGTCACTCACAATAAAATAGGACCCCATCCTATCATCATGCCGGTGAGTCGTGGGGTTAGATGAAAACCATTCATACTCACAGGAATCACCTCTAGCTTGCATTCATGGCCAGGGCAGCAAGCTTCCGAGTAGCATGTGACGGGACATTGACTTTCAGCGACAGGCATAGACACTGTCAACCTGAAAGCAGAAATAACGGCGAGGACGAAGGAGAGACGCATTTTTTGTGGGATGTGATTTGGGCTTCCCACAATAAATTTTAAGGGGACGGTAGGAAGACAGCTTGCTTTTATGTGCTGAATAATGTTCTGTGCAAGAACCTGTCCACCTGGCAAAATCATACTCCTTCAAACAGATGACGTTTGCTTTGCCAGCAGGTTGCCAGCAGACCTTAGGATTGACTTGCCACTCTGTCCCACGATGTTTTATTGGCGAGGGAAATGCTGGTAATATGCAATTCCGACCCGTTGTTACTGTTGTCATAAAAGTGAATTCCTTTTCATGGACACAAAAAGAGGTTTCGGCATAATGACTGGGCCTGCAGGCCTGAAGCTCCGAGGATTTATACATCGACAAATGTTGACAGTAGGTTTTGAACCAACTCCAACAGAAACAGATTTTGACTCTGTCGTGGTAACCACTTAGCTAAGAAGAGTTAGATGGACCTCTGAGGAAACCATCCACGAATCAATGTCAAGGTGTATTCCGATAGAAAAAGGCCTGTCATTCGGCAGGTTTCGGACCTGCGCAGTCGAAAAGAAACAGAATTTGATTCTGTTGCAGCAACCACCTGGCTAGGACCAGTTAAGATGAACGTCCGACGAAACCATCCATGACTGAATATCGAAGTGTGTTCTGATAGAGACCTTGTCATCGGCAGCCTGTTTGACAGATTTTGATTGTGTTGGGGAAACTACCCACGAACGAGTGAATATCAATCTTCAACGATAGCAAAAAACCTTGTCTTCGGCAAGTTTCAAACATGCACTGGCACAGTCCAAGAGATAAATTTAGATTCTGTCGTGGTAACCACTTCTAAGAGGTCAGGACGAAGTTGAGATAAACCTCCGAGGAAACTATCCACGAGCGAATCTTCAAAGCTTGAAGGCGTGTTCCGATAGAAAAAATACCTTGTCAATCGGCAAGTTTCGAACCTGCACAGTCCAAGAGAAACATATTTCGATTCTGTTGTAGTAACCACTTAGCTAAGACTAGTTAGATGAACCTTCGAGAAAATCATCCACGAGTCAAGGTGTGTTCCGAGAGAGAGAAAACACCCAACACCGGTACACTGAATCAGCAGTACGTCTCGTGGTAATTGGAATAAAGTGATCGGCACTAAGATCTGATTTCCAATATGATGGAGCTATAAAAAGACAAGATCAAATGGATTCTAGAAACATTCCATGTGTAAAGGAATAGCACCAATTGGGTTGACGTTGCCAGCCCGAACCTACATAATACAACAGATTTTCCCTGTCAGGTCTGGATTAACGAACAGTAAGGCTTGGTGAGCGAGCAGAGAGTCTAACCAATAGGATGAAACTCGTTGATCATTATTCTCGGGAGTAGTTGTGCGTAGATGAACTGGCCAGACTGGACAATGTAAGAGGTAGGGTCAGGGCTCGTGCGAGCCGTGGGAGGCTATCATTGACACTGGACTTTCAAGAGCCCATAGAAACAACAGCTTGTCTGAAACATCACTGGCGCTGAAGTCAAATGGCAAAGACACTCCACGTCACTGTGAGATACCGGCAAGCACAGGTTCCCACCCATTCGAACACGGTGCTTCGTTAAATCCAAGATTACATATTTCATCGAAAATGCACCGTCATGGCCTTTTGCAAAGCTCACACCTGACCAAGCTTGCTTCTTTGCAATGAATTGACACGTGACACCACGAGGCAAACTTGTTGTGAACGTATGGTTTATCCGAGAGCAGGCGGCCTCGAGGAATCTCGAAAATAGTTAGCCAAAGATTCAAGGGTCGCCTCGCCGGGTCAAAACTGCCCTTTCACAACTTTTTTTTTTCAGTATCCCAATTGCAAGAATGAAATGACTCAGCCAAGGCTCGATGCGCTTGTCAACTCGCATAATATCAAGTTCCCAGGACGTAGTCAAGCTTGCAGTCCCCGTGCTGACCAGAAGTACAGGCTCTCCATGGTACGAAAATACTAGCCCAAAATCAATCAGGCACATGCCCCGATGATCTGCAGGACAAAGTATGGTGCTATTCTGGCGTCACGTCACGATCAATGAGGCCACGAGAGTGAATGAGCTTCAATGTCGAAAGGTGATATGCAGAAGATTAGGTTTACGTATACAAGATAACAAGTGAGGAGGTTGCAACGACACACGGGAATTCTCGACGGCTACCACTTTACCGTTTGTTTGGTCTTTGGTGTGGAAAACTTGAGCCTGTGATATTGTTCAGTGACAGACATGCGGTAGGGTTGGAGGTGCACACAAAACCGCCATTCCAATGGCAAAAAGGCGAACCAGGTTTGAGCGCTTGATCATCCGAGTCGGCTGAACCGCGCTCATTAAAGATGATTCCTGTAATCAATGATACCTGTGAGCCGTAGGAAATACGGTAAGACAGTTCTTTTTAATGAGGTCTGAGAAAGCAAACCGAGAGCTTCAGTTTTTTCAGAAGTTAAACAAAACAAAACCTCTATGGCTAAGTCTCAACTTCTCCAAGTCAATCCGACTTCAAATCCGCATGAATTGTCCGCTGAACGCATTTGTGACAATGTATGGCGGCCTGGATCTTCAAGCTGCTTGCGTATCAAAGACTCGAGTGCTCGAGTGCTCAAGTACTCAAATACTCACGGTCCGAGTCCAAGGACTCCTTCAATAGCCACCGGCATATATAGCTTGGGCGGCCGGCATGACCAAACTCAGCCAAATTCGATCACTTTGCCACAAGTGATCGTCTCTTCAAGGACATCTCTTCCACATCCCAGGATATCCGACTGTCCGACCCCATCCGCGCCAGCATACTCATTGTTCCCATCATATACATTAGATCTAATGTTCAAATAAAATCATGTATTAAGCTCGCTCTTTCCCACACGTCCTCGCTGTCAGCCACAACGCCAAGCCTCCGCACTCAATGATTGCCCAAGCACCATCAGCCATTGAGATGTGGCAGCAACTGCAGATCTCACAGGTTGATGGTGGTAACGGGTTGGGAGATGATTCTTGGAGCGCCACCGAAAATATTTACACTTCCCTTCAGGCCCTATGAATGGACATGGAGGGAACAAATACGTGATAGTCAAGGAGATTCACATGGTGGGACGCACCGAAACCGTCCAGCGGCCGCGGTTGCCATTCTTATCAGACTTCGTAGCTCTTCACCATGGCCATGTTCACAAAATGGTGTTTAGTCTGGCTTCATGAAAGGCCGGGGGTCCCCGGGTATTGGGGGTATGTCGGGCATGGTGAATAGACGGCGTAAACGTAGTGTGGCATAGCAAGGTGATTAGGAGTTGCATGCCTGGGGTTGACGCGGAGGGAAGTCACAACTCTCGGGGCGAGGGAGATCTCCAGGAGATTATGCACCATCTCAGCGAGTCCGCACGTCGTCGAATCAATCACGCCACAACGGAAACCAGGAGACCCACTCACGGACTGGCCTGCCCGCCCTCGTCGGGGAAATCGGAAACCTCCAAGGAGAAGACTTCTCCTGCCCACCAAACCGTGATCAAAACCGTGATCCGCTCCACGAAAAGTGTGGTCCTGCCTGGTCGAAACTGTGACTGGGGGAGGAAAACTGTGATTCGGCGCTCGCCGAGAATGGCAAGTCTCGCCCGCCAAAGCGTGATCCCGCCTGCATGATCCACGTAGCTCGAATCACGATCACGTTGTTTGGCCTGACTCCATCATGAGATTTTAATTACCTGTATAACAAAATGGACAGCGTACCTGTAACGGTTTATGTAAACAGGACACGAGAGGCGGGGGCGGGGAAAGAGTGACGCACAGTGGCGGGTTTGTTTATTTGTAGTTGTAATAGTGCTGCAGGCACGCTGAGTCATACGGATCCTCAGTAGGATCGAAATATTTTGGTCTCTTCCGAGTCGCCGCGCATTGTCTGCCACGCCGATACCGACATAGACAAGGTAATGCAGGATTGGTGAACGCTCCACCAGTGAGGATGCGCGTGGACAGCAACTTGCCCATCCAGTGCTAAACCTTCGAAACAACCACTATAATAGACCAGGAAGATGTCGATCGCGTATCAAAGAACATTAGTGAAACAGCCTCATTAATGCACTCCTGGGAAATACTTGTGCCTTGTTGGACCGTACTCAACGTCCAACCTCGGTACGATCTTGATTATCAGCTCACTCATCTCAGGACAGCAATGATCAAGATGATGTCGTGGAAATCGATCAGATTGCAAACGAATCTTGTGTTCCCGCGGCCAATGATGCTACGCCCCAGGCTGTTGAGTAAAGAGGCGGTGAGGCGGTCGAAGGCCACGAGTTGACAACGGGTTCTCACCGCCAATTTGGTCCTAGGTATGTGTCAAACTGTATCACTATGAACACACGGTGCCCTTAACTGATATCTAGTCAAGAAATCAGAATTATTCGAAAAATTCTGAAGCCAGCAGATCCAGAGTATGGTACGGTACTCCTCTGATGTCCAACAGATCGTCAGTCTTCAAACGACGAACGTATCAATATGTTATATTTCTTCCGTAATATCCATTCACTTTTCAGACATGATTCGTCTCTTTTAAATATCATCGGTTGTTGTAAGGAGTGCCACTCCGCTACACTCAGGCAGTGTTTTAGCAATGCTCACTTTGGTGACACGTAGGTAATCGAACTCGAGCCTTCGTCTCGTATTGGATATCAGTTGAAACACATGGCGATTTACGGCGCACAACGCTATATTGAAGCAATCGAGACCTTTCAAGATGATGCTCGCGAAATTGGCCAGTGCTCACAGCATGCAAATACGAAGTAAGTTCCCCGTAACACACGTATTCAGATACTCAACTCTTTCTTCAGAGCTACGCAACAAGTCTGTCAGTCCCTCTGAAGCAGAAAGTGTCATTCGAAAGGCCATAAATGTTCAGCTTGACTCCACACCGCTTCGTCTGCTTGATACAACCACCGGACTCTTATGTGATCGAGAAGCGCAGATAAGCGCCTTCGAAAAAAGCACAGAGTACAATGAGCTTTTGTTATCGATTATGGCGCATCCAGACCTCCCATTGGGGCGCATCGCAGACGCGGTGGCGACATACTTCGGTTATGACATGTTATCCCATCGATTGGGCGAGAACGAGCCACTGCTTCACGACATCCAGGATAAGGTCGTGTACAAGTTGAAGGAGGCCGGCGGTTTCATGAAATTGCAGTCATTCTGCAAATTAGCTCGTCACATGAGGTATCACTGGGCCTGGGTCGACACGTGTTGTATCAACCAGAATAACAATGCCGAGCTCCAAAAATCACTCAACTCCACGTTTACCTGGTATCGCCATTCAGCGCCCACGATCGTCTACCTCTCGGGTGTTCCGTCTTCGTCTAAATTTGGCGCACTGGCTCAGAGTGCTTGGAACACCCGAGGATGGACTTAGTACTTGGTTAGACGATCATTTGTACGACACTATACCCTGTGTATCGCTTGAACGTGGATAGCTTTCAACCTTTGCCCTACATAAAAAGCAAGTCCGATGAATGGCCGAGTAATTGCTATTCCGAAGGTGGAGTCAGGACCTTGGGCACGTAGTCGATATGGCACTGCAATGTCGGGTGCCACCCAGCACATATGCCCAAATCTTGAGAGTGCCCGCAACGAGTGGAGTTATTTGGTTTAGACCTGGGGGATACCACACCATGCAAGTTAAACGACAGTTACAACGTTGGTGAAGTCCTGGGTTCAACGTTCAAGCTCAAGGGCCATTTGGAATTTCAGACTAACGGTCAGCTTTATCAAGAGACGTCGCTTTACTAGAACAACTCTGGCATTTCAATACAACTACTAGTACAAGTCACGTCAAACGGCTGAGATAATTATGTTTACATAGTACACGGCAGGGGCAAGGCAGGCGCGCTTGCGCGTGATATTTAGTTCTTGCAGTCGCAGCTACCAGCCTGGCAGTTGCAGCTGTTGACAGACAGTCAGAAACCGGTCGTTGAGATATCGCAAGGCAAAACTCACGTGGAGGTGCAGTTGCATTGCTGGGTGTTGTTGTTGAGCATGACGATGATGACGGTGAGTGCTGTTAAGCTGCAAGACGGAGTCAGTCGCGAGCTCAGAACCGAGTGAGACAACTCACCTGGTATGTGAGGCAGTTGACAAGAGAGCGGATTGCTGGAGGAAAAATCAGTCAAAGAGGGGCCATTTTATATTGCTGGCCGTTAGCGCCGTGAGTCGGAGTGACAGATGATAAGCGGTAAGTCAAATGTGCATCTGTCTTCGTTAATCCCAGGATTGTCAACAGGATGTAACTAAAGAGGGCCGCTTCTGCTCCAAGTCCGACGAGATAAATACCTACGTCATGCAGTGGTGGCCCCCAATGGCAATATTGCATGTGAAAATGGGTTCCAGTTCGCGTCCGAAGCTTCGAAGTGTCACACTTTGGTACCTGGTGCTAAACAGAAGCAAATACGGCACGGTTTGTCTAATGCAAACGACTGTAAAATTTTACTACAGACAACAACAACAACGCGGTTGATGTCTTCTATCGCGACTCTGACTCCTATAGCTATTACATCGAAGTTTCTCGATGGCCTCACATTCTCAGCAAACTCGTTGCCCATCCCTCTGAGACTGAACGGCCAAATTTGAGTACATCATACCCTGTTCATACCCACAGAGACATCCATTCATCTGCCCCACTATCATGATCAGATATCTCGGTTCTAATTTGAAAACTCATACTCCGCTTATCGCATGATTGCCCTCATACTTCCGACCTGGACTCTATGTGATGTACACATAGTCCCTCAATAACCGAAAAAACTCATTCGGATAGTTCCATTCATCGCCCCACTCCACTCCCCGAGTCCCTGACAACGTCCTCAGTATCTCCTCACCAGCAAACAATCCATCGGAGTACCCACTGCGAACACAATGATTAAAGTCAAAGGAGAGTATTCAGAACTGGCGAGACGAACAATAAAACTAATGCTGCAGTGGTGTTCGAAAGCATGAGGACCAAGGAAGGCCCGCAAGGACGGAGGTGGAGCTGTTGTCAAAGTTCCCCCGTGTGAGTAAAGAAACCAAACCATGCAGCAGATGTAGACATCTTTGGACCCCGTAAGCAATGCTAAAGGAAAAGCGCGCGTGATGGACGAAGGAGTTGGCGATGAAGAACAGGAGAATAGATCCATTTGTCCTCCCTTCTCCTGCACGGTGTTGCGCTCGGAGTCCATTCTACATATCATCACAAAATTCAATATCAGACACCTCCAGGTAGTCTGTGAGTTGAAGCTGCATACCTGGAGTTGTGTGATATGGTGTTTGCTCTTGTGCGTGGTTACTCCATGGCTGCGAACTTCATTTCAGAAAACCATGAGAAAACACACATTCAGCTTTATGTGACATCGCCTACTTGTGACTTGAGAGGGAAGCCGGCCTTTGCAGTTAGAGTACTCCCACTCTCGATCACGCAACACTCACTCACATGGTCACATAGAAGTAGATACCCCGCACAATGAGATAGATAACAACCAAGTTATTATAAAATACACGTGCAGTGTCCCCAGAGATCAAATAATTAGCATAACAAGGAATGTATGCAATAGGGCGTCCAGCGCTGCAGTAAAAATCATTCACAAGCATCTAACCCACGTCATGCAAGGACCAAGCTCAAGCGCCGCCCCTCACACCACCAGCAGGAAATACACTCTCCACAATCTCCTTAAATGCCCGATCATCCTCATACCTCTCCCTCGTCTCCTTAACAACCACCAACAACACAGGCCTCTCCCTCCTGTGAATTTTTATATCATCCGCATCGCTATCGAAAGCCGAGGATGTGCTGAAACAGTTGAGCACTCGGGGCACCAGGCTCGTGGAGCGCTCAAGGGGGGTGGATCGGGGCGATACAGACGATGAAGAAGATAGAGAAGGAGAGTAGGTGTTTGTGAAAGACGGCGAGCACGAGAACATGCGTGTAAGCACCATCCACGTGCGAGATAGTATACGGGTAGGACCACGATGGGGATTGGGATTAGGGTGGATGATGGTACGTGTGATAACAATGTCGTCGTGGTCGTATACGTTGATAGGCGTAGGGGAAGTGGCACGCGCGTCCGTAATAAGAGTAAAAGGTGGGGATGGGCACGATCCCTCCGAATCGAAACCTCCCGCCTCAAAAGGATTGACTACAACCTCATAGTCCGGCCACAAATCACCCACGCTCGCTCGCTCCATTTTGACGCGAAGGCCCTGCCCCATCATCAGTTTTGAAGTGCTAGTGTTGAAAAGTGACACGAGTCTCTGAAGAATGGAACAGATGTGAGCGATAACGTTAAGATGCAGGAAAATGAACCAAAGGAAATACTGACTGTGCGAGTGCGCCGCAGCGGGTCGAAACGCTGAGCATCCAGGGGGTTGTGACGTGCGGGGCCTATTTCCATTTCCATGTCTATACAGTAATAAGAGGATACAAGTCCTGGAGCTATCCGATGCAAGCTAGAATTTGAGAATGCGAATGAGAGAAGTGGGTGATGAGTTTCTCATCATAGCAAAAGAGGTATTTAAGTGAATACCTAGTGGACAAGCAACTGTGGACGATAAATTGTGGAAGCAAAGCGCACGCCACTTACCATGCCACCAACGCTTTTGTTCGTTTGGTTGGACAATTGCTCGTTTGCGTACTGTGGAGTTCGCCCACAGTCCTGGAGTAATTAATCCTGGGGTTTGAAAGTGTGATTCACAACATAGCTTAGCATTAAAAGATATGATTCAACAGGTCTGTGCACGTTCTTTGTCGTACGGTCGTTGTGCTGAGGGGTTATGCGCAGATATACTACGCACAATCCATGTACGAGCTTCGAAATGGCCATCGGCCATCGTACGCGCAGCTCGATGGGACAGAACCTGAGTTCGAGGTACGGAGGGTGAGGAGGGTGGCGGTGCAGAGGGAGCAGGCGCGGTTGATTGTGGTGAGTGCTAGGGAACCTATAGTAACGTCGTGACGCGGTACTTGTTGCCATTGTGATGTGATGTAGGTGGCACCTACTAGAAAGGCAAAAGGTGACAACCATCATGGTCAGGCGTGTCAAGATAATACTGGCACAAGAAGATGACTTGCTTACCTGGGGCAACTTGATAGCAATGCGTCGATAACCGAAGATTTTGACGATGCCAGTTGTCAGGGTTTTATACCCACTATTATAAAGAGTGTTTGTAGCATTAGCGTTATGTAGTCAATGTAACATTCTGTACTATGACTTACACTCTAGTCTCTCGTCCTTCGAAACATGCCTGTCCACCCCGCACGCCCAAGTCCGACACCAGTTCTCTAGAAATTCCCATCTTAAGATTTAGGTTCCGGGCTTAGTAGGAACAGCGACGATAATAGGAGTTCGTGGCGCGCAGAATATATTCGGCTGATTCCGTTTATCTATTATATCAACTAACTACTCCGCCACTCAGATGCTCTCGTAACTCCGCTAGGAAGTGCACGAACCATGTCGGCTGATTGCTATGTCACAACATCCCAGTTGTAGTTAGAGATTATCTCCAGCCTTTCGGATCTCTGCTGATACATTTTTATCACATATACCATAGACACATGTTAGAGTCTTCACTGTGACATTCACCATGAAATGATGTTGTCGGTTCAAGGATTGCTTTGTTTACGTAAAATTATTTGCGGCTATGTCGAATTGGACGCAGGCATAATTCGTTGGATGGTATATATATAGTCATTTGAAATGTATGCGTATATATAAGCGCGTACCTTTGAGTCACGGTTTGGCGTCTGTACATCATGTCCAGGATCCAGAAGGTTTTGTCCCATGCCGACGGTCGCCCTTCCACAGCTAACTATTAAATGTACAAGCAAGTATCAACAACGCGATCAACCTATCTACTCCCGAGTCCCAACAGGGACATCCATTCATCCGTCTCTTCTCGAGTCCCTCCCCATCAAGAATGTAATTTAAAAGTGTTTCCTATCCCTGTTGATCAGATGAAGAAAACCGCTCTCGGAAAAATACCTTACACGTGTCTCCTGAGCCTCTTCGAGCTGGCACAGCACACCACCTGCGCTGAGGAGCTTGTCAGAAAGGCGATGTGCTTCCTTTGTAACCTCATCCACAGAGAGGGAAAGGCGCTTGCCAAGATATAGCAGGGATCTTCAACCTTGCAGAGCGATTTATCCATGAGTGATAATCTATTCGACCTCGGCGATACTTCTATTGATGCTATCTACTACGGAAACAAGTAACATCGGCTCTCATTACCGACCTGGAATATACGGTGATCAACGTAGTTATATGCATGTCAAGGCGATTAACACAGAGATTAAGGACACGGTCTACCCCTTCAAACAATGGTACACGACCAAATATCAATGAATGTAATAGTTGGATTTCAATTTGATGCCCGAGGATTTGCAGTTTTACGGATACAGGTAATCACTGTGTGCACCAGAAATGTATGCAATGGAGAAAAGAATGGATACAACAAGTACCAAGTAAAAGTAAAGGCTACAGACGCAGATACTAGCAATACATAAATAACCAGCAGTAAATGATGCCTGCTGATTCTTGAAGTTGCTTCTATGGTAATAGACTCACCAGATAACGATAGGACGTAGAAAAACACGAAGGTAACGCAGAGATAACACGACTGTGGGTCAGAAATAAATAATATATCTTATGTGAGAAGTCCTTGTTGGCTCAATGTCAACACCAACAGTTGCGCAGCTCAGAACACCAACCACACCCCGCTCACAACAACACCGAGCATAACGCTCATACCACCACACAGACTCCTCGACGCGCCGTTAGTACTGCCAGCAGCCGGCGTCGTCGTAGCTGTACTGGACGCGTCGTTCGTACTGGTACTGGCAGCGGCCAGCGTTGTCGTAGCTGTACTCGACGCCTAAAATGACATGCAGCATCAGGATCACCATCACAACAACAAAATGATGAACACATACGGATGAAGATGAGGCAGGATCCGGGTCTGTGCCTGTACTGGTAGCTGCTGATGTGGGAACCGCCTCAATGGGCCCAGAAGCTGTTGTGACGGCATCCAATGCATGCAGCATAGGACGACCGAATTGCGGCATAGCAGAGGCTATGATTATGGGATAAGTATAGGCACAAAGAAACACAACGGCTGCACGTACCAGACATTGAGAACAAGAAGAGCGCCATTACGAATGCTGAGACGGCGGTGATGAACGTCGAGCGGAAAAGAAGCATCATCTTGGCTTGCAAGGTTGAAAGAACGAATAGGTAGGAAGAGAATGAGTGAGCGGGTAGTAGAGCTCAAGGTATCGTTGCCGATGGAAGCTCTGTTATAAGACGAGAAAAGGAAGGCGGCTCTGAGACTTGTAAGTACGAGCAGTTACTGTGCAGTTACTGTGCTGGCACTTCCTGACTCACCTATATAGTCCCGATTCCAGCTACAAGACGCGTCATATATGGAAACTACTATGAAGATAGATGCCATCGAGGTAAGGCACTGCGACTTCGAGGGAATGTCCCTGCCGATATTAATGGGACTAGACAAGAAAATGCCATGGGTACACTTACATTGCGGAGTTGCAGGGCCCATCAACCTACCGTCTTTGTATTATTTACCAATATAAACTGATTCCACGCGGGGTGATTCACTAGGTCGTATGCCGAGTACAAGAACTCCAGTAATTTCTGCGAAGGTCTTGACAAAGTAAGTCCCAAATACGGAAACAAGGCTGCGGTTTAAATGTTTGTGCGTGTTTGGGAACCCCTAACCCTAGATCATGGTTCAATGTTTGTTATTGATGATCTGGAGCAAGGCGAATTGATAGAGCCACAAAATAGGGTACTAGTAAGCTAAGAGTGCGCACTGTAGGAAAAATAAAAGGAGCAAACTCAATCGACATCATCCACTACTCCCCCCGGACAAGACTGAGAGTTATTTATCGCAATGAACGTTACGCCCCCAGAATTACTTGATTGATTACTTGATTGGCTTGGTGCTTGGGAGGTATTGGGGGTGCATGGCGGCTTTTGCTTGCTCTTTGGCTTTGCAAACCTGCGCCTCTGCTGTCTGCAGAAATCCCACAGCGCATCAAGGGCGTCACAGAGAAAGAGTTTACTTGGTTTCTCAGAGAGCCTTTGTCGTCAGTTCAATCAGTTGATCTAAGGGATGAGCGGGGAGGAACCCACCGTCCCGTCATTTCATCAACTATATCTGGCGCACCCAAGAACGGCATCATCTCGATGATCACAGCATACACCTTCAGTAATACTGACATCCCTCCCTTGATTGTCCGTCCCGCTTCTATCCAACCCTCGAGGCGTGCCTTTAGGTTCGGACGGAAATCTTCCCGCAGGTCATCCAGATCCGGATCCTGGACATCTATGTCGATGTACCCGAGCGGGTCAGTATCGTCCATAGCCCCTTCCATCCCAGGGGGGAGAGGAAGCCCCATCATGAGCGCCGCCAGTGCCATCGGATGGGCAGTTTCACTTGTAGGCGATACTACAGCACCCACCCAGCGGTCAATCCGCCCTCGTCGACCCAGTGCTTCCAGGCGCAATGCTATGATCTCGGTCAGCTCCGTCTTATTGGCCTGAACATCAATATGACAAAATGCGCTCCGCACGGCGGCGCGGATGGCGTGCACAGTGTCGAGCAGCTCTTTCTCGACGATGCGTAGTGCATTGAGCTGGTAGGGTGGTTCTGCGGCAAGTATTATGGTTGCAAGCTGGTGTGCGGGCGCGTCGCGGGGACGCAGAAGGTGAGAGTGGTTGGCGAGTAGGGTATTGATATTATCTGTATGTGAATGCAATGCACATATATGCAGTGCTGTAGCAAAATTCTCGGGGCTGTAAGTGGCGATACGCATTAGTGTGGGGAGGAGCTCTTCGCAAAGGTCATCCTCGTCCGTTCCATCCGCTTCAGATATGTCGCCGATACTTGCAAAGAGAATTGGACTGGGCATGGTAGCAAAGAGAGAAATGAGAGACGTGCGGATGAGCTTGCGCAGGGATATGTGAACGTCATTGAACTTGCTAGACCAATGGCATGCGTGGAAACCACAGGCACATTGAGCATCGCTACAAGCGGTGCCAGCGGAGTTTCCGTCAGTGTCCGTGTAGTCTTCACTGTAATCATCGTCATAATCGATATCATCATCGAATCAAAGTCGTCGTCATCTTCGTCGTCATCGGCTGGTGCCATGGTGTAAAGGTCATCACAGTTCAGTCGAGTCAGTGGAGCTTACGTTTTTGACCACCGTAGAGTAATCGCTCGAGGGCGTTCCAGCCGAATTCGGTGCGAATATCGTCGAGCATATCTGGGATGGCAGACTTCTGACGCTTAGTGCCATCGGCAAGCATGACTACGAAAAGGTCGCGCCAAATCCAAAGCATAACACGCTGGAGGTTGTGTGCGCCAGTGAAATGGAAAGACTTGACGACCTTGCCAGAGGAGCGCCTGATCTTTACAGAAATGTACATGTTCATAAAAGAACACTTGCACCTGAAACGATATAAGCAACACAAATGATGACATGATGACACCTTACCCGACCCGCGCGTTACCGATCTGTTCGACCGCTTGAGACACGTACAAAGACAAGCATGGGCCTTTGAAAAATTTGTACCGTACTCGTATATGACTCTCCATATATCATTGAGCCAGTCGATGACGCTCTCGATGACTTCTGCGAGGAGTTCTTCTTTGCGAGACTTTTCTTTCACGTAAGAACGTTTGTGGTCGCGGGCGAGTTCGTCCAGGAGTGAAGCGATCTCCAACTTCTTTGCTTTCAGGTTCAAAGATGGCATGCTGGCATATTTTTTATGCATGCGTGCTGCTGATGCAAGAGTGCGGTTTGATTTCTCTTTGGAAACTACATCGAGGAGCGGTGCAAGTGAACTCTCGACAAGAGCATGCTGTGCATCGGCTGGAAGGGATTCGTAGAGCTGTAGAAACCTAGAACAATAATGAGCCCCAACAAATACAATGAACGTAAAGCTTACTTTGTACTGGCTGAGCTGGACGCCATCAAATGCGATGATGAGTTCGCACTGAGACGCCTTCCGTAATGTGACATATGTGCGTGACGATCATAATTGTGTGACCGTGTTTCCATTCTCCACAATAATTCGAAGCGACAGGTTCAGACTTCTGGTGAGTGCAATAATTAGAATTAACAGTTATGAACGTAGGAAATCTAAACAATCACTGTGATACAGCTGGCAAGCGCTTGATAGCACAGGAATGAAATCAATGATTGTACCCGGACCGGCGTTGTTCCTTGTCTGGCGTTGCCTCGAGGCAGCGCTTCCTATCACGGCCCTTACCCACCCCTACAGTCTGTTTGCAACGCAGCAAGCCACGTTGGAAACGCGCGTACGTTTGAACTTGCGGCCACTTGCGCGCACTCTTCAACTTGTTATCTTCTCAGATCTAACCTTTGCTTTCTTCCACCATCAACAGCGAAAATAAGTCATCGCGAGCTCTCATATAGCCCATGACAAGTTCACAGTCCCCACATAAGCAGAGAAAAGTTCAAATGTTTTCCGGTGTTCAAGGTCTGTGCCATTTATTTTTTGCTCTCGTGCCTATTGTTCCCATCGCAGCCCAAGTGTGGATCATCATCAACCATCATGATTAGCTTGTTCCGGGCGTTCGTGCGTTACCGATACATTATTCACATCATCTATTTTACGTCCCCTACGATAGTCACGCTTCTTCCATTGTCATTCACCGGTCGTATCACAACGCTAGCGGATCTTCTCTTATCCAATAACTACTCCAAACCCCAAAACTGACCCTTTATATCAGGTTCATCCCAGAACACACCACCTCGTGAAATGTCCCCATCTCCGAGACAAAGGACGATCAAGGCCCAATCTCTGCCCGCCGTACCCTCCGTCATGCAGATTTACGGAGCACCAACTCAGTCTGCAAATCAGCGCCAGGCACAACAAGCGAGTCCCACCACTGCAAACATCTCCCCGCAGTCAAAACGAACTTCCTCGCCGCCGGCCCTCACGCAAACCGCACCCAACGTGACTAAACTCCCATCTCCACTCAATCAGCCGTCTCATCTCCGGGAAGAAGCAATCCAGGGGCACTATTCTCCCTCGGCTTCAATTCACCCGAACATGCATCAAGCACCACCTCCCCCTCTCCAACATTCGCTCAGCCAGCCCAACGTGCATCAGCCCCCTCCTCTACCCCAGCACTCACTCAGTCAGCCCAACATCCACGCCCACCTCATGAATCCACAAATGGGCTACCCACGCCCTATTAACAGGGTGGGCTCCTCCACAGTTCTTAACACACTTCCATGCAATGGAGGAGAATTGGCAAATGACAGAAGAGCTCATGGCAGAGATTGAGCGAGCTGACTATGCGCAGGCTCTGAGTCAGCAGCCGCCCGTGCCTGGAATGTCTGGCGTCGCCTACGCCGGTGGCGCAGCGAGTGGCGCCGTGTATGTACGCGAGGTGCCGTCACCTCTCAAAGACCCCGTCGGTGATCGTGTCCGCGCGAACGAACGGTCTAGTCCAAAGGATGCAGACGGTCAGGGGAGCGGCGGCATGCAGCGCTCCCGCTCCATCCGCGTTGTCGAACGCGAGAAGGAAATCCAGCCGAGCGATAGTGCTCGTGCACGCGAGCGTTCCCTTCCATCCAGTCAGACTGGGTCTCCGTCCTACTCACCCTCGGGACACCCCCAGCAGCGTGCGCCCTCTCCTGAGCGCACTTCTCCACCTTACCACACGCCTACTGGCTCGTCAGGTGGTGAGAGTGTGACTGCAGTGGACGTAGACTACGTCTCGTATAAGCGGGACTCGTATCAATCTAATGGGAGCTCTTCCCTTAGGCTTCCCAGTCCTCCGCCCACTGTGCGGAAAGCCATTGTCGCCGACAATGCTCGTGTGACGCCACCTGCGGTCAGCAAGTTTGCCAGCAACACTCCTCCCCTGCAGGCCATGAAGACCCGAACTCCCGACAAGTCACTGCCTGTCCAAGAAGAGCCAGAAGACGAAATCACAACCCCTAAGAACGGCGACAACTATACTCACGGGAACGACTATCATGAGGAGGAGGATGATAATGATACTCTCATTGAAAACGACCATGATTTCCCCATCGACGGTAACGGAGACCGCGATGGAGAAATAGAGTCGTACACCCCACGCTCACCCACTGCCAGCTTACCCGAACCATATACCGCCAGGCAATACCCCGCGCAGTCCGCAAATCAGCGCCTCTCGAGCCTCACAAAGCACCACCGCAATGGCAGCACAGACAGACTTGGCCTCCGAAGCTTCGACGCAGCCGTCTTTGAAAAGCCTCCCATCAGATCCACTGAGGAGCGCCGTGAGTCGCCCGCACTTCCTGTGAGGCTGACGACTGAGCAGGTTGACTCTGTACCAGAGCATAATCTACAGCAACAACACAGCCACACGTTTTCTGATACTCGTGGTGCGGAACAGCAGCAGCAGCAGAGCAACGGACGACCGCACCCGCTGCAACATCAAGTCTACTCGGATGATCAGAATCATGATGATCCCGCAGCTGCCTATATATCGCATTACTTCCAGTCTCCTCGTCCAGTTGCGCCCATACCGCCCACGCCTCATAGCCAAACTGCTGCTCCATCACCGTTGATATCTAGCATGCAAAGTATGCAAGCCAGCCCGGCACCTCCAGTGGGCTCGCCATATCCCTACCCATTCTCTCACGTTCGGCGGAACAACGTCTATTCTAGCTATCCCATCCACACTGCGCCTTCCTCCAACTACGACCCCAACCATCCCTCGGTGATCGAAGAGCAACTCGCTCTCCAGATGCAGATGTACGCCTTGAACAACCACGCAGCATTATCCGACTCCACGTTTCTCGCCATCGTCAACACCCTTCCCTGGACCTGGATACAACCCATGGGCATTCCTGCAGGCATCTCGTGCGTTCGGAGGAGGCGTGCGGCCACGTTTCGACTCCACTGCAACGATGAGTATCCAGTCGAGCCCGAGTCACCAACCAGTCAGCCTTCCGTTCCCGACTGGCAAAATCAAGCGCCGTCAGGCATCCGCGGATCTACGAGTCCAGAGCACAAAGCGGAAGATTAAGCCGCCGCCCCGTGTGGAAAGCACGCAGCCACGGGATACGAGCCCAGAGCCGTACTCGTCTGGTGAGGAAACCGCTGGCGAGGAACACTTTGAGGTTACTGAGGAGGGGAACTGGGTGAATGGGATGATGCCTGATGATGGTACTGAGTGGGTGGATGAAGACGAGGAAGAAAAGGATGACTTGTTAGACTTGGAGTATCACCCGAACTATGTCAACAACATCGAAAAGAGACGCAGGAGGTGGGATACGCGTTGGGAGGCTCTGCATCAGGCGGTGAGATGACTTGTTGTCAAAAGCCATGGGTGGATGCTGACATTGCCGTCGTATCATCATAGTTCCAAGCGCTTGATTGTGAGACGGATACGACGATGGTCCTCCTTGCTGCACCCTCACATTCTACAAAACTGCATGCTTTGACATCACGCTCGATTCGTCGTGAAATAGGGACACAGTCTCCGAGCATGCACAACATACGAAACTCTTTCCGAGGCATTGCTGCTCGTCGACGAGCATCCCGCGCCAAGGGTACAACGCTCGTTGAGAGGTTTCTCAACTCGACTTCTTCTTCTGGCGATGGTTCAGACGGCAGTTCGGAATCGCGGGAAGGCGACCTCAAGCGCGCGCTCGAGACTGCTCTTGGTAGTCTCGGTGCTCTTCGCTCAATATATGACCACCGTGTTGCACGCTGGGAAGACGAGATGGGGCGCATCAGCGACGAGCGGGACCGCGTTGAAATGCTGCTCCGCCAGACCCTAGGTGTTGGTTTGCAAAACGGTAATGGCCTTCCTGAGGCGTAACTTATCCAATGTTGTGACCTACCCCGATGTATGCATTCATATGACCCTACTGTCCTATGCTGTACTGTACTTATGGACGCTGCCTATGTTGTTTCATGTAACATCTTGCATACGTCGACTCTAGATATGTTCATCTGGTGGATTATACCACTGATCCATGTACATAATGCACCATGTTTGCTATCGCTATTGTACACTTGTCCTTGAGTGTCTACTAGGTCCTTGAATTGTGAATAAGATACAGGAATAGGCCGTGGATTACAATTCGTCCGAGAGGACTCGCTGGTCTGGCGTGAAGGAATGATTCAAGGTCTCCAACCATGCTCTGAGAAGGCCATTGAATACTTGTGGGTGCTCGAGGTGGGGCCAGTGGGCACCTTCCATTGTCTACATTCGATTATCACCGTAGTCCTTGGCGAAAGGGTCATATCACGCACCTTGGTCGTCAGTCGTGGCAGGAACTCCGCGGATTTCAAGTACTTGGCGGCGAATACCCAGTCTGCAACAGGATCCTGTGGTAGTCCGCATGAGAAAGGCCCTGTAACAGGGCAGACAACCCACGTTTAGAGGCAAAACAGATAAGACGGGCTGGGGAATGGTGTAATTTCCTTGCGCTTGAGTTGATTCCCATGTTCCATAGCGGTTCTAAGCACCTCATTCAGTTATGGGTGCATTGTAAGAATATATCTACGCACTCCGCGAGTGTAGAATATGAGAGCTGTGGGTTATCGATTAGCTTAGTATGGTATGCGAGGAAATTTGTTTCGTACTATGGTCAAATTTCTGTATACTGAACCGTTCGACAAAATACTCTTCATCGGAGGAGGTGAAGAACGGGATTGGAGGAATCTAGTCAAGGTCAGTAAGCTTTGTCCTAGAATGAGCGCTAATCGTACCCTCCGTCACATTGTCATATGCACTGAGATAATTACTGGTGCTTGTGAGGAAACTATCTGGAGGGGCGCTGTTGACTGTGCGCAACGTAGCGCGTAGGCTTCTCCTGATATCCTTGTTCAGCTCAGCTACAGCTTCTGTTGTGTGGTTCTCGAAGAAAACTTGGTAAGCTAACTTGGGCATGACTGCTGCAAGCTGAGCGCTGTCTGCAAAGGGGCCAGCAGCGTGCAAATACTGGTTATGATTGTTAGGCAGGGAAATTTGTAAAACAACGATCTGTTTACCGGAACAGTCACGCCAACCAAGGCATAGAAGATATCAGGTCGTCTCCTCGCAGCCTCGTAGCAGACTTCAGCACCCCAGTCATGACTATAAAAATATGAGGTGAGTCGGGCCAGATCTTCTACAAAACATACCCGAGACAAATAGCAGATTGAATGCCAACATGTTCAAGAACGCAAGTGAGATCGCCAGTAATATCAGCCAACGTGCTGGACGACTGTACATCAGCGGGATGTGTTGAACCCCCCGAAACCACGGACGTCGATAGCAATCATACGATACTCGTCCTGAAACAGATCAGCATGACGGTCATCAGCTGATGAAAGAGATATCTACCTTGAACTCTTCGATCTGGTACCCCCCAGGAGCTCCAAAGACTGGGGCCAGCCGTGGACCATGATGATGCTCTTCTCCGCAGTCGGGTTGACGTCTACATAATCTATGACAATAATAAACATCTTTGTAGGCAAGACACGCGCATATATGCGTACCAATGGTAATATTGACCTCTTCGTCCAGGACGCGATCCACAGCTTTGCAACTGGTAGACTGGATAGTATACGCCCTTGCATTGAAGGCAACAGCTCCCACCACGAATGAAAGGGAAAAGGGAAGAACAAGGTAGGTAGACCAATGCATTGGACGTAGTACTTTCTACTAACTCGTAGTTGTGTCTACTGAGTGACTGGACGGACTTCAACGTTCAACGTTTCGACTTCAATAATCAACATGGAAGATGCCGCTTGGAATTCTGCATGCCTACTGGGCAGATTCCGACGGAATGACCACAGGTCCATGAGCTGATTGTGTAGGTAGACCAACTTATAGAGGGGATGTTGTCGTTCCTTCAATGTCGGATTTAGTGAAAACAGGTGTCAACAAGCGACATCTGTCGAAAACAACTTGAACGTATATATCCTCCTACACTGCTAATCGGGATAAACCTGAACCTAGCATGCGTAATCATACCTTTATGGGATCTGTGCGAACCCCAGTACTATCATAATATATACATTTACCAAAGGATTTCCGTCAATGTAGTAATGGCGGCATGAAGCAAACCATAAAAGGATATTGGTAGCAAAGGTCAAGCAGATATTGGGATCCTCTCTGACGAGTATGGTGTCAGGGACGGTCCACTATCATGTACTAACATATTACAAACCATCATAGCCTAACATTGCGACAGGGTCAAATGCTGAGGTCTGGTTGGCCTCACACCTATGTTGTGCGTTTGCAATACAGTCATAGTGTTATCGTATTACTGTATTTCTGTATTTACTCTAACACCGGTGCTTCACAGCATGATCGGGCAGAACGAGGGCAAGCATTGATTGATCTAATTTACAAACAACAAATATAACTAGATGAAACACGCTACAAAAACGGAGGGACGGTAAAAATAAGCTGAAAATCATCCCATATACTTGTGCGAATCTCATCCAGGATGTCCTGGCTGAGAGGGCTATCAGCTGGTATAGTCAGGTTGTCCGCCGTCCAAGACTTGATAAATTTCCCTTCCAAACTGATCTTAGGGTTCCAGTTAGGCCAGGGCCCCTGAGGAAAGTCTGGATTGGCGGCAATGAATGCCATCCAGAATGCGTCACAGCCCCAAGCCCACTCAGGCGCTCTAATGTCCCGAATGGTGTCAACCAGCCAAGTTTCCACCTGTCTGGCGAGCACAGACCAACTGGCCTCGGACAAGGGATTGAAAGATGGCGGAAGTGGCAAGAAGGGTATCTGCATGAATGTAAGGTTCAACATCAGCAAACTACCGGTTTTGGATACAAGATTCCCACAGCGACACAACTAGCACAGCCCCACAGTGGTACAGCGCACAGAGCGCACAGAGTGACAGTGCGGCACAGTCTCGCACAGTGCACAGGGTCAGGCGATAAAATGTGATGTAAATTATAGATTAATATCAATATCTTGCTGGTCTTCATCAAAACACGAGATCTCGGAGAATGCATTTCACAGTGTGACAACTTATATTCATTTAATAAAGTACTTCAACAGATAGCTAAAATATAAAATGTGCAATGCGTATATGTATTGACAATCATGTACACAGTACAAGGCTATGGTCACAATGCAACATCCAACAGACAGATATTCTAATCAGCTGTACTCATCAGCGACTGCATACCGATTTTAAGAACGAATTCGCTTACATGACTTGATGGTGGATTTTGGACGAGGAGACCAAAGTGACCGCTCTGAGCAGACAAACCCGCACCTCACCACGAGAGCGCGTGTGCGCCCTACATTAGCTTCCGCATCTCCAAAATTTCTCTTTGCCCTCTTCGCTCGAAGTCGTAGGTGGTGTTTGCGCATGCGAAATTGATGAAGAAGCCGCTCAGCAAGGTCCTTCTCGAGACGTCGAACTTCGAGATCAGCTCGTGCCATCTCGAGCAGGTAAGATGCTTCCTCTGAAGTCTCCGGCATTGAGTCCATGTAAGCGTCAAATGGTTCATTTGGGTAGCGGCGTATGTACTGTAGATAAAACTGATTCAAGGCAAGTGTTAGAATCCAGCCCATAACTCACCATATTATACACTTCCGAGGAGTCAGATGTATCATCTGAGATGTCGGAAGGAGTTACAGAATCTGAGATTTGTTGGCCTCGACATAGCGAATACGGGGATTGAGATGATTGAGATGGTGAGGCATAGCTTGAACGACACTTCGACATTGTAGTTACAGTTTGCGTCGTCCCGGAAATTGCCGGGACAATATTGAATCCAAATGAGTTCAATGACTTACTTCGCACCTTCGATATGCGCTGCCCCTCCTGCAGCAAGCGTTTTAAGAATGAGGGACGCTTTCTGCAACACCTGAATCAGCCTTCTTCTCACTGTTACAAGTGGGATGGTAACCTAGTTCGCATCTTAAGACCAGCACAAGCTCCAAGTCCTCAATTTCCTCTCCACAACGACATGGACCCGACCTTTGACCCGGAGTATATGGACCATGGAGTTGATGCAGACACTGGAGCGGAGTATGGGTCTTCAGGCTCGCAGGCAGATTACGGTGAAGAAGTGGAGTTTTATGACGGTGCAGGCAAGACGTGGGGTGTTGGGAAGACTTTCATGGACCAATTCAACGAGGATGAATATGCTGCAGAGAGGGAGCAAAACCAATACTTTCCTTTCGCTAGCAAACCGGACTGGGAGATGGCATCGTATATTCTTCGGTCCGATCTTAGCATGGCCGAAATCGACGAGTACCTCAATCTTGAATTTGTGAGTTCATCTATCCTCTAAATTTTCTTCGTCTAAACTTATGTTCAGACCAAAACACTCCCGTTGTCATTTCGCTCTTCGCGAGAACTCCGAGGACGTGTTGAATTGCTCCCAGCTCCCCCTCAATGGAAGTATCAAAAAATCACTACCGAGTTTCCAACGACAAAAACCCTTCAAATATTTTATCGGGACGCAATCGAGTGCTTGCAGTCACTTCTCAGTCACCCACTGTTGGCCGCCAGCTTTGATTTCATCCCATGCAAGGTTTACGAGTCTGCCGAACGTGCGGTTCGAGTTTATCATGGTTTCATGACAGGCGATCATGCTTGGAACCTTCAGGTAAGGTCTCGTGTCTTGATTCCTCGTTCTGTATAACTAACAAGACCACAGAAAGACCTACCTGAAGGTGCATCCCTCCTTGGTGTAGTCCTCTCCTCGGACAAGACCAAGGTCAGCAACATCGCTGGCAACCGTTACGCGCATCCACTTCTTGTTAGTCTCGCCAATATTGATCCTGGAGTGCGTGCCAAAGGCTCCTTACATGCATATATCCCACTTGCTTTGCTTCCTGTTGCAAAGTTCTTGCACAGGAACAAGCGCATGCATGGGGGTTCTCGCAGACCGTTTACTTCACCAATGTATCGACCTCGTTGTTGAGCCATTGAAGCAGGCTGCCCGTCTTGGCGTTATGATGAGTGATCCACGGGGTTTTAGCAGGTATTGCTTCACCCCCCTCGTTGCTTATGTCGCAGATACTCCGGAGGAACTTGTAATTGCATGCGCCACTATGAACTCATCGCCTGTCACTATGGCTACCCGTGAAGACTTTGGAGACCCAATCCGACACCCTCCTCGTGATGGATCATCAACCCTTGCCAACATTGCAGCGATTATAACATCTATCTCACCTTCCGATCTCATCCCGTTCTTCGAGGCATGCAAACGCTACAATCTAAACGGTGTTGACTTGCCATTCTGGAGGAATTGGCTTACCGCAAATCCTTCCTCCTTCCTCACTCCAGAACTACTTCACCATCTCCATAAAATGTTCTGGGACCATGATCGTCTCTGGTGCACAACAGTGGTTGGCTCGCAGGAAATTGATTTTCGTTTTGCGCTCCTCCAGGTGTGCACTGGTTACCGTGCATTCAAGGAGGGAATCTCCGCTTTGAAGCAAGCCACCGGGCGAGACCATCGCAACGTTCAACGGTATATTGTTGGCGTGATTGCTGGTGCTGCCCCTGCCGACTTCATATCTGCTATTCGGGCCCTCATGGAGTTTAGATACCTCGCTCAAGCCCCGCATTTCACCGACAAGCAAGTGGTAGATTTAGACCGCTGTCTTAAAGTCTTTCATCGGTTCAAACAGTCTATCGTTGACGCTGGTGCTCGGCGGGGGAAAGGGGGTGGGGATAAGCCATGGGCGATTCCAAAGCTCGAGCTGCTGCAGGGGGTAGTGCCCAGTATTTGTTCACACGGCGCTGTCATGCAGTGGTCTGCAGACCCCACTGAACATGCGCACATCAAGGTTGTGAAGGAGCCAGCGAGGGCAGGGAACAATCACGACTACGACGCGCAAGTGTGTCGCCACCTCGATCGTCGTGATAAGGTGGAGCGTTTTGACCTCGCACTCCAGATGCGTGCACAGGAGGACCACGAAAGGGACGAAGACAACGAGGGTGGTCTTGTCCAGCATTTTGTCAAGGACTACTTTGCTTGCGCGCGCGACCTCATTAATGGTGTTCATCCTCAAGCTCCCCGTCCCTATCGAACATTCTCCACCTCAATTAACGCTTACCATCTCAGCTATGACCCCACGCACACGAAAATGACAGTGGATAAGGCTGCTGAAAACTTCTCTCTTCCTGACCTCCGTCCCGCAGTCTCCGATTATCTTGACCAGGTTGATGCGCATGTTGATCACTTCGCTGTTGGTGGGAGGCGCCATGCCCACCCTGGCTGCCCCCTCCCCTTTGAACGCATTCAAGTATGGTGCAAGATACGGACACAATCAAAATCTTTTCACGACCCTGCACAGCTTGAGCCCGCGCAAACGCTACATGCTCAACCACCCTCCAGTGCCTGGCCATACGGCCGATATGACTCTGTCATCGTTAGTTCAGGCAACACGCACAAGTGGCCAAAAAGTGGACTGGATGGTATGTTTTTATGTCTATACCGTCACGCTACTGATGTTGACAAACGCAGGACACTTTGTTGCTCACCTTCGCTTGATTTTTCGTCCCATCACGACACTCTCATATTCCGAATCATATCTTGCATATGTTGAACGTTTGGATGTTGTGACTCTCGACGATTCTACGGGTATGTATATTCTCAGGCGTGCTCGATGAGCGAATAATGACCGGATTGGCGATGTCATCCCAATAACTCAGATTGTGGCACCCGTCCATCTCATCCCGCGTTTTGGTCCAAAAGCCGATCCGCGACTGACGATGCAAAGCAGCATTAACCATGCCACAGAGTTTTACCTGAATAAATTCTGGAATAAGGAGCTTTTCTTTGCGCTTCATGTGACTAGTAGATAAGCTCTTAGCATTAGACAGATAGGGGTATTCACTAGAATGGTGGTTTTTTTCATTGGCCCTTGTTTTTAGCCCATCGTGAGAGTCGCTGCGGCATAGCACCCAAACCATGTAGGCTGACACGTCAGTTACAGTTTCTTTGTTCCTTGAAGTCTTTTAATGGCTGCGGTCTTTGGAGACTTTGGAGGAGATGCATACTACTATACAGCTCGTAACTCCAGAGGCAAAAAACCCGGATCCGATACGAAAAACGAACCAACGACTCCAGGGATGCCAGTGTTATCCACAACATCTTCATGGATCTCCAACAGATCAAAACGACGTGGCCCTAAGACAGAGACCCCCGCGTTCTGCAGATGTGACTTGTATGCTGACGGATCGCTTAATCTCAGCATAGATTGCTTACTTTACATATTTATAGGTAAATCATCAAACACCCCAGCAGTGGTGCCAGAGACTGAAACTGTAGCAACCGCCAAGTCCGAAGCCGACACTGCAGTCGTGCATGATCAGGTTTTGGGTATCACACATGTTATCGCTGCAAACCCAGGTAAGGGTGCTGGTCAACTAAATATTATTGTTTCTCATAGTTCGCTACTAGATGGGTGCCACGAGCAACTCGTAGATGCTCTTCGGCAGGTATGGGTGGAACCTGTATGCTTTATCAATGTCTCTGCCGAAAATCATGCCCGTGTTTTGGAGCACATGGACGCTCTCACATTTTCTAACTATCACACAAAGTACGTCATATATAAATTCAGTCAAACATTTTTCTTATGTCGATGTTGTTGTAGGATGTCATATTTTCCTCACAGGATGATTCTCATCATATACTCTCCGCTCCCTGTCCATGAAGAAACAACATCTGAGATGTCGTTCACGATCTCACATGCTCTTCACAGCATTCAGTACAACCGAACCCTCTTGAAGACCTCCGTCTTAACCAATAGTCGGATGTACTCCGAACACCTCTTCACTATACCCGACATGCAGGTGACCATGAAACCCACAACCACGACAGCCGCTGAGACGCAACTTCTCTGGATGGCCGAATCTGGATTCACTCAGTCTCGGGTTGCCATCATGACGAAAATGGAGGATACTCTTCTATCGCACGAAGAGCTCCTCCTCATTCTTATGATCTTGGTCAAAGAAAGGAAGAAATATGCCTCCCCCGCAGCAAACTCCGTTACTTGGAATCAGACACGTGAAGAGGGATCGGTGCGGACTTACAGTGAGTTCGCACCTGAACGCACTTCCGACAAGTTATTTGGGCCAGTAATAGCAATGGGGCATGAGTGGATTGATATTGAGTCTGTCGATTATTTTGTGTGGGTGAAGTCTGGGGATCAGCGGATTGACTTGGCTGCTCCTCCCACGGCGCACGGCGTGAGTCTAATGTTGCAATGATAAGAATATTTATGCTGACAAGTAGTATCTTTGCAGACACTTTTTCCGAATATTGACATGGACAATGTGACTGACGCATTGAACCATGGCTTGGATCTCGTGAAAGCCACGATGAGCAGCACCCTTGACTTAATTGAACCCAGCGTAAATCATAGGCATCTCCTCACTCCCAGCGCACTTACATTCAATTGGGAGCTTGACAGTTCCTCCATGTCAGTTGCCGTTTATGAAACTGCCCACACCCGCTACTGCGATTGGTACCGTCGCCAATTCTCTGGTACGAAACGTCGTCGTGTGGACAATCCTACCACAGATGAGAATACCAGGCCCTCGATCAGGAGGGCATTATCCTCTGGACATGTCCAGGCGGACAACCAAGAGAACGCCAAATCTTCAATCAGCTCTGCATACGTCTCCGACACAAGCGACGAGACTGTTTCCTCCTCGGAACTAGCAACACCTGGAACCGAGTCTTCCTCTGGACTGAGTAGTGATGATTCAAATGTCTAGGTCTTGGTGAGGGGGATGGAACTTGGCTCCCTGTAGACGTATATCTTTCACTGCTCACTACACTTTCATCATGACCATTTTGTTCTATTTTCTTGTTGTACCTAGTACCCCAGCGCCATTTTCCGCACTACCGCGCGGAGTTTCAAATAAGTAGTACTTACTAGTACATGGAATGTTATACTTCTTGTCTTCGGGTTCATGTTCAACGTTTGATGGCAGGCAAACGCAAGACCATAGTACCTGATCTTGGTGAGTACACTGATTTCTATATAACAAAACTGATATGTAGCACTGCAGATGACCTCCGTCGCTCTAAGCGAAGTAACATGGGTCAAGGTGGACGCCTCACCCAACTTCAAAAGCTCGAGTCCTCACAGATAAATAGACAACGTCCAGTGAAGAAAAACCCCGCTCAGGAGATGATAGACAGCCAACCAGTAAATGTCATGGCGCCGGAGGCACCTATACGCAAACCAAGGGCAAGACCAATCAAGGCGACTAAGACATCAAGCAATGAGAAGACTGAACGACATCTTTCAAGCTCCAACTTACCACAGCGTGTTGCTGAGGACAAGCCCACTTCGCATCCTCGTAGTCCCGACTCAAGGTTTGGCTTTGTCCCACCTCCACCTGCGACCTCCGAACGCCATTTCATCCGTGCTCTCTCTAGGTTCAACAGTACACCATCAGGATCCTCCCAGCCTAACACGCCCAAACGCACCCTCACTGGCGCCCATTCGCGGAAACACGACAATCTGCGTCATCATTCCAAGTCAGATACTAGCCGTGCCCTACCAGCATCCAAACCTGTCCCTCTTGAACACACCCCCGCTGGTGCTCATTCACAGAAACGCAACGATCCACGTCCTCACTGTAATGCTAGTCGTAAACCACCGGTGTCCAAACACATCCCTCGACACACCGTCACCAGTGACAGCAATCCGCCCACTGACCTGGAATCCGATTACACTCGTCCATCACGGATGAATATTTCAGATGCCGAGGCTCCTCTACATGGCGATGAGGGCTACGACTCGGGACGAGATCATGATGTGGATGCTAACAATTCTGATCTGGACAACTCGGATGCTAGAACTAATGACGTGCAGGTGGACCATGGCAATGATGGTGATAGTGGGGAGGCGGACCAGGATGATGGTGACAGTTTTGTTGACGACCCCCACCAGGATCATGACACCTCGAAAGATAGCAACGATGGTAAGATATCCCATGCATGTGTCCATCATGCTACTGAACTTGCCCACTTGCCTTATGCAGATGAATTCACTCGTGCACGCTCACGAGTCGCCGACAGCTCACACAATGCCCGAGATGTCCTCCAAGACCATCGCGCAAAGAACTGTCGCCCTCGCATGCCTGACCTGGATGAGCTCGAGACTTTGCGTCGTCGCGCTACTACTCAAGATTCAGCTCAATCTTCTTCTGAAGAGGAGGTTGTAGTACCACGCAAGAGAACGCGGATGATCAAAGCAACTGCGCAGAACATTCGCTTCTATCCTCCTTCTTGGAAGGATTTACTAGAGGCCGCAAAGAAGAAATCATGCCTAGGCTTGCTCACTAGCACAGCGTCAAAGCGCAGTGATTTTCTCAAAACCAAGGGTATTGAATATCTCTTAGAAACACTCGAAGACTTTGGATCCCAGGGTGTTGGTGTTGACGACGGATACTGGGATGAATATAAATCTGATATGGCAGTCCTGGTATTTGTGTTCTTACTCTGTCGGATCACACTAACAATTATTTTAGCTATGGGACGATCGCGCTACTATGCGTTCCGAAATGAAAAAGGCTGCGCGTCCGATTGTTCTGGCACATTACGAAATTCTTCCACCCGATGTTGACGATGAGAACAACTATGAGTGGGAGGTGCGTGACAACGTCAAAACATTGTTGCAGAATGGTGCTTTCCTACGGGATGGAGTAGATGCACAGGCAGGTTAATGAGAAATAGCCCCGCACTTACTGACTCACGCAGTGTGTATTAGGGCAGGACCAATAATCTTGCAAACGAGGCCCTGGGCAGCTTTTGTATGTCCTATTTTTACAAGGGTGAGAACGCGCTCGCGAAGTCATTTCCAGACTTGTTCGCCGATGCTGTCCCCGAAGGTGCCGTTGCACTTGCAGCGACTGCGGTATGTGATCTCAGGCTCGGATAATCGTCTTCGCTCATTCATCTCTAACTAGCTTGCTGCCGCTATCGACGAGTACAAGACCGGTACTTACAAGCAAATGAAATTCGTCGCCGATTTATATCAACCCATCTACGACAGCGTCATTCAGCTCTACCATGATGTGCAGAAGGACCACTATCATGCAAAGAAATGCCGGGCCGCCAGAAAGAAATGGGCTCGTACTGCAGGGTATTGTGAAGCTTTTTTTATCATTTGTATCATTTTCTGACGGCTATGCAGAATCCTGACTCGCGATGATCCAAACAGGCGCCATGACTGGGGCTTGAAACTCCAACTGGACTGATCGTGTTTTTAGCATTTTTGTAGGATACCTGATTGTAGTATGACGCAATGACATCATGATTTGTTTGGTTTCAATTACTGTGCACTTTCTGTAGTGATGCTGTGAGCATTCTGCAGTATTCCTGTCTGGCCTACCCAATGCTCTGTATTGTTTTGCTCAGTGTAGCTAACACTCTGTACCGCTCTGTGCAGCTCTGTACAGTATCATACATTACACTGTACGACTCTGTACAGAGCTGCACAGAGATAACCCTCTCTGTGGGCTCTGTGGCTCTGTCCAGCACTGTCCAGGGTTGTACAGAGGACCCTGGGTTTGCTGATGAATGTGTGTCAGCGCTGCGCACGATTCGAGACTCACCATGAGCTGTGGGACAGACTGCGACTCGAAATTTGAAACCAATTCTGTCCAGGAAATATGGCGAATTACAGGCACCGCCTGCCCTCCAAATTCTCGTGGCCATAGAATTGTGACCTGTAGTGGCTAGTAGACAAGGTGAATGGTGTCAAGGAATCTGAATTAAAAGAGTACTTACAATGGTACCAAAATTCGACTGTGCAGACTGCGCTGTACTTCCTTGGAAAGATATGGAGAGGAAAACAGGTGTGAAGCCAATGCCTTCATTGGCTTGGAGAGGCGAGGTGTGGATGATGCTGTTGACGACAGACATGCACCGTGTGGTGAGAGTTGTTTTATTGACAATGTTTTGTTGATTGAAGTGTGTTGATCGAAGACTTTGTGTTGATTGATCGAAGACAAGGTAGTATTCCCACGGATGACGTCTTGAAGTTTCTCCTATCAATATTCAAGCTTAATAACGTGTTTGCAGCGTGTCGCCTGTTTTTTCAACGTTTTTTGCCTTTGCTTCGAGCGCTTTCAAAGCTGCAACATGACTGCTCATATCGACGTCCACGCATTCTATGTCGAAAAGGCGACCGCGGCTTCTTATCGGGTTGGGGAGACAATCACCAACATCGGCCAGCTCAGAGCCTGTCTCCAGCATCAAGCTCGACTCAAGTTCGATAAAGAATGGTTACAAGTACCTGACCTTCATCCTGATCCTGATTCCGTTCTTCTCGCTACAAGTAAGTGTTTTTCTGTTAAATCAAAACGAAAATTCATTCACGCCACCTCCAGATGTGCATGGTACCTCCATGCTCGAGGATAACCTAATGACAATCCAGAGCGTGTGTGATTCGGCGGATCACATTCTTGCGATCATTCCCTCCAAGCAGCTATCACCCTCTGTTGCTCCCTCGCTCGCGGCAACTGCGACCCAATCCTTGGCGAGCCCCGCCCACATGAAAAGTCAGGAGCTGATCAACTTAGTTGTATCGATGAATGATGCACTTCGAATCAAGGAAAATATGAGGGTTGAACAACAGGTTGACTTTCATGCGACCCTGCAGTCATTTCAACGTGATCAGCTGCGGAGGGAGGAGGACGCGAAACTAAATTTTCAGCGATACGCCAAGGAGGTGGAGCGGCAGCTGAAGGACACTCAACATCAATGCAACATCCTCAAGCAAGAGCATACCCTTGACCAATCGCGCATCAAATTTCTGGAGGACGGACAACAAGAGGACAGACAACGCATCAAGGACCTGGAAGATAAGCAACAGCAGGACAGCTCACGGATTCAGGACTTTGAGAGTTCGCTTCTCGAGGAGAAGAAGCTTCGGGCGGAGGAGAAGGAAGCTAGTGATAAGGAGAAGGAAGCTAGCGAGAAAGAGAAATCGTACATGCTAATGAGGATCGAGGAGATTGAAGATGAGCACATCGAAACCGCTGGGTGGGTTAGTGGTGCGGTAAGTATCGACTATCTAATGCAATTATGACGCTTGAATTATTGGCTAGGATACCAAACTCATGGATCGCATTTTACTCCGCCACTTACTTGATCTCGCGCAAGCGAAGCTAGCAGTCGCGTCTGGACTTCCCAGAAACAACAAGACCTTCCGCATTACACAGTCATTCCTCTGGAGAGAGGCACTGTCTTCCTCCCAGACAACCCCTGAGCGCATGCAAGCTGCCAAGAAATTATTGAATGCACCAGGGTTGTCTCTTGATGCCGCCACGAAAAAATTCCGCCTTATCCGACAGCGGGATGAACATCGTGGTCCAGAGACCATCGGTGATTCGTGACATGGGAGACAGCGCAGCCCACCCCAAGCATGTATCAAGGGAGGCGTTTAAGAAAATAATTTCGCGACACGCTGTCGCCGCAAATCACGACGGACTTCATGCTATCTTAGAACTTGTTGATCCTGTAACTCAGTCCACCTGATTTCACATCACGCGCTCACAATGTTGTATTACTTTCTTTTACCCCAAGTTACAAGTACGATTACGCAGATTCAAATTTACCAATATCAGTTGTACTTATTGCCAATGGATTTTTGGTCACGTGCAACGCATCACGTTCGGGCTGACTCTGACACCGTCTCTGTTCAGTGTGTTCATCGCGCAGTGCTGGGTATGAGCTACCTCAGTCAATTCCGACTCCAACAAGCACCTGTACCATTGTTCCCCCGGGCTGCTACATCTAGCCCGCCGTCATCCCCACTTGCGGCACGAACACCACTTCGGTCAGTCACACGAGGCGAGGTCAGACGACGGATCGAATCTACAGAGTCAGAGGCTGAGACCAAGCGGCTCAAGACTTGCGCTACAGATGTTTGCAGGACCAATGGGTTACCTGATGATGCGCTAGAAGAATTTGCTACAGTAAGTCTAAATCATCAGGATGTACAGTATAAGCGTACTAAAATTCATCCATCCATGCAGAAACCCGAAAAGGAGATGCTACTAAACATCATGGGGCATCTCATTGCCCTAGACAAGCGAAAGGCGAGAGATGATGCTCGTGAGCTCATTAGCTCGGCGGAATTCAAGGTACAGGTCTGACTCTCATATATTTACTATTCTTACATTGCTTCAAGCAATCACTCACCGACAGGCTTCGCGCTTGCCTATTGTCTCCGAATCTCTCAGGATATGTGACGCACTTGTCTCAGAACCTCTTCGTGAGTTTTTTTATTCTTATCTGACAAATAAAGATTAACATGTTCCAGGAATTCGTAAAGAAACACCCTTCTGTATTCAAGATACCCCTCGCCGCCCTGCAGGATCTCGAACTTATGAATAAGTTGGACTCGATGATTAAGGAACTGCTTACGCAGCAGCGCGGAAGCATGAAACAAAAGGTTTGTCGATTCCTGAGCTGCTATGATATTTTTAACGTTTTGAACACAGATCGTTACTTCCGCTGATAGAGGATCAAATATCCATGCGCTCTGTCGGTCGTTATCAGGTAACTGCACCGAGCTTACTTCAGCACACTGGTCTCGTGTGGCCTTTCTGGCAAGTTGATTCACAAACCCCGCCATGTCTTCCACTCACTCTAATCTAGCGTTCTTCACTGATCCAATTCCGGACTGTCGTTGCAGAGAGCGCAAAGTCCCAAGAGGAAGTCACTTTGAACAGCAACCATGAACACGTGCCAGCAGATATGGAAGGTGACGAGGCCGATTCCAGCCCTTCAACAATCACACAGTGCACTTGGACGTTTAATCAATACTGGAGCTATATTGATGTTCTTTTGGGTGAGCTCAGGGACGACGCTAAGAAGAATACATCTACGACACAGGCAGCTGAAGAATTCGTTAAACAGTGTGTTTCACTGCTTCTTGAATTTTGTGCGTTAATTTGATCTCATCATTGATTTGTATAGATTTTTCACAGAGGTCCTCCAAGCTGACTTACGAAAATACCCGAGTACAACGTCCCTCACTCCATCCCTCGACTCCGTGACTGTGGACTGGCAAAAGACAATTCATAGCAAACTTATTTGGTGATTCTTATGTTATGTCCTACTATACTTTAGATACACCGTGATAATAATGATGGATTGCTCCCATATTTTTTACCGTTGCTGGAAGTTTATGTTCTGATATATATATAGTTGAGTTTTAATGTCACCATGGTATACATGCGGTGGTGATGAAGTGTCGATGGGACCTGATATTAACCTTTCTCTCATGTTACCGCGCTAACATTGTGGTATTATTTTGCTCCCTTGGTTGCTCGTCCCTTGTGCAGACCTTGTGCAAAGGTTGGCTCGGCTGTCAGCAATACCCAGGAAGGCCCGGTGTCGAGGTTATATTTAATTTATGGTCTATGCAACATTTCCGGAAATCCTTCCGTCAACCATAACCCTATGTGCATGTGTCACAATCCTATTTTTGGGTCATGACAACGTTTGTGACAATTCTCAGTGTAAGGTCTACCATCTATGAAAACCAGAGGGATAAACTGTCACGCGTCCATAAACAAACAGTTCAAGAAATGACGTCACATTGCTGATATCACCGCGTGTCAGTAATTTATTGGCTTGGGCCCTCGCAATATTGAATCCTTATCTCCTCTTATCCAGCATGCATCATGTATTAGGAGCTAAACCGGGGTCAGATTACTTGTGCTCGCGACTTCGGCCATGGCCCCGAGGAACCAGACCGATTCTTGACGATGCCACGCCTGGACAGGCCTGGATCCGGTGGGCACTGAGGGGCGAATGCGATGGAACGTCAGCAACAACCGCAACATCAACTCGATGGCACGATGTCAGTGGCAGGCCACAAGACATACCCTCCGAGGGGGACCTTTCTTGGCCTTGGTAGCAGCCGCTCCAATACTACCACATGTCCAATCGAAGTGAGATCGTCTTCTGCTGAAGTGAGTTTATAGATATGTGATGCTTCCTTGATCACACTACTACCCTTTCCGCATGCCCCTCCCTAGTATGGTCATTTGCGATGTTCTATTTGCCTCATTGGCAGTGACAGTACGGTATCCTTCTGTATCGTTGTCACTTTTTAGAGCGCAGCCCGATAAAACGGCCTTAAGGCTGAATCAGGCCGATGGAGAATGATCACAAAATAGATATGACATGCCCTTATGCCATGCCCTTAGTCTCGTATTGCAATCCAGCCCAACGGCGAACTTCAACTAGTGTCATTGGGCCAACATAGGGCGGCTCAACCTGAACTCTACTAATTCCTGGGATTCCCCGCTGGCTAATGTGACGTAAGTAATATACATGATGTGACATGTTACTTATAAGGCAATTATAGATCAATGCTAGGTTATTCTTATCAATGAGACAACGCATGGTCAACTTCGTTCTCTTGCAGGGATCCTTTATTTTGTGTTTCAATTGCGCCGTCGTCGTGTTTTCTACTATTATTTGAATCGACGCTTGTTGTGTAAGTACCAGTCGATGGAATGTAACGAGAGCCCACATTCGCTTTTCCTTTTTATCAGGGCACATGCTACTGAATGGGCCGCACAGGATACGATTTCATTTCATAGCAACATGCTGATAGTTCCCGTAACAAATGTTCATATGTGAGTTGTGCTTCGTGCTGTTTGACCGTTCTAATGTGCACCCCGTCCCCAACGAAAGAAAAGGGGTCCAAGATATTTTTGGCACCACCGTGTAATTATACATCTATGACGTTCACTAAGTTCAGTCTAAAATTCAGGGCAACCGATGCCCTTCAACTGCAAAGGTACTTTTTATGAAACCTAGCAACCGTCCTCAATTTGACCCAGCCTGTTGGCAGAAATAATAGTCCTGTTCAATGCCAACTCAGATCGACCGTGCTGTTGAATCGAATCATGGCACTTACTATGGCGCTGATGGTGTAGCAGCAAGATGCTAGGTAGCCACTCTCACAAGGCTCTGAGTAGCTTCGGCACTCCTCATCGTTAACATTGCCCCACTGAGATGAATCCTTTTACAACGCAGGTAAGAATAAATGTGCTTCTCCATTCATTAATCTCTCTCACCTCTTCGCAACAGCGAGCTATACCTCCATCACATTCAGTCGAACTAGTCGATGCCTTAACAGTGGCTTGTGAAACGAGAAGGAGAAGCAAGATGACAGACAAGAGAAAGACGCGGGCGAACATGTTTGATTAGCCCACTGAAAGTTCGAATGCGTGCCATTTGAGCAAAATCGGCCAGGGCCTTATCGCGTGGAACTGTGGAAAAACTATGACATAGCCAGCCTCGGTGAAGTGTGATTTGAAATTAAAGCCCACACTTCATCTCACGCAGCGCTTGTCCACAGACTTCCATGTAGGGAAATGACCACCACAGCCCAGTGACCAGGCTGTCCGATTGGTGGTTGGAACCACAATCCCGACTTCTGCAATAAAGCTTTGTCAGGGATCTCCGCGTTTGGGTAACCCTGCATATACATTGTTCGCGGCGGAGCTTTGTTGTCCACCCTCTAGGATCGTACACAGACCGGGCCACCACTTTAAAGGCGGTATGCCCGGGGGTATACTCTGTCTACGTGGACTCCCAGAAGGCTTCAAAGGATTTTTTCTGTTTCTATTTGTGGTTGAAGGTACAACGATGTGATAACATCATCACTTCGCAGCTCCACCTGGTACCCCCGAACAAAAACGACACCGGTTATTGTGACAAGTTCTGGCATGATGTATGATTCCATTATTCGTAGCTAGGGGAACATTCAATCAGCCGGTTGCTCCCTGTTCGAATCTGTTGAATACGTGAATGAGACTCCAAAACTAGAAGAAAAAGAAGAAAAAGGAACTTGGTGGCCGTGCCATGAAGTACAGCTAAGTACTTGCGTCCAACTTTTAGTGACCTGCAGGAGTGACTCTGAACAGCATGAACTTTGTCCCCTATGTAGACTCCTGCTAGCGATTATGTAAACATTTTCTCTCATGCCAGAGACGCTCTCTCATGCCAGAGGTGCTATGATCTAAAGGATAATTTTCGTGTTAACGGCCAAATTTAGGAGGGCAAAGTATTCAGCCAGTGTCAATACTTTGACAACTTCCCGGGGCCGCCAATGTTTATTTGTAGCAGTAATTAAGCTAAATCTATTCTACAAAATCACTCATTAGACGGCGGTGGGAACATCACCTTCAAGTTGAATTCTAGACATTTCAGGCGTACAATGCATCCGATTTTACTTGTCAACGACACAGGAGGGAAGTGCGGTAGTAGCTTTATTCGGCATCATGTATGGTACCCTCAATCGAGGGGTGACTAATAACTATGTTCATCAATGCATCACGTCTCGGTCACCGGTAATGATCAGTCACGCCTCTCCCCCTTTTTTTCAACACTGAGGTACGTCCTCATCATTATTGCAGTCCCTTGGCGAGACTGGAATAGTTGTGATAGATTGATTTGACCAACCAGTCCAGTCTCGGTCTGACAACGAATCAGTCTCGATCCGAAAACGAATTGATTGATCTGACAAACCAGTCCAGTCTTGGTCTGTCAATGAATTCCCGGGCTTGTTCATAGCTCGTGCATCTAGTAATGTCCATCAGGAGTCACGACATTTTCGTCATCAGGGGTCAAAAGGGCCCCGGAGCTGGTCAGCACAGTGGTGCGTCAGTCCACCAATATAGCTATACAGAATAAGACGCTCAACGATGCCTGAAATAAAGAGCTCGTAGATATCGCTATTGATCGTGATCACGATTGCGGCTGAACAATAGGTCTACGTCTTGTTTGTTGCTACTGTGTTATAGACTTTCCACCCCGCAGATTCGCCTGCGACCCAGTCTTTTCCGCAGGAGTGGTATCGATTATCTGACCGTGCGTCCAGGATGGAGTAGGTGGAGTAGGTGATGGAATCGAATGAAGGGATGGACATGATGGACTGGCTAGATGAAGAGAGCAGAGAGCGAGGCAGCCAAGGCTGGCGCTGGATTTATGGTTGCAGATTACATAAATATAGGCGTCTAAACACGATACAGGTTGAGGCTGTGAAGAAGTACCAAAAGGTCCGGTACGCCTCTAAAACTTAGATCAAGACACTCACAAGCTCTCCACCAAGTTGTGCTCAACACCATCCACCTCGAGCAGGATGATGGAAGAACACCCCGCTATTCGAATCACCACGCCTATTCAAACATTTGAAGGTCATGAAGATAGTATCTTTGCAGCAGTCTTTCCCGATAGACGCCGTATGGTGACGGCCTCGTACGATAAGACGCTTCGTTTGTGGAACTTAGAAGACGGTGTTGTATTGAAGATAATGGAGGGGCATCGCTTCAGCGTACGAAGAGTTGCACTATCAAGAAACGGGCAATTCATCGCAAGCGGTGATGATGGTGGAGAGCTCATTGCCTGGAACAGAGACGGCGAGCCTCTCACTCACCCCATCAAAGTCCACTCCAAGCAGATATGGTGGCTTGATTTTTCCCCAGACAGCACATCTCTGGCAAGTGGCTCATGGGACGCCACAGTGGAGCTCTGGAACACAAAAACATGGCAGGTGCAAGGAGATCCAATCAATTGTGGGCCTGGCGCTGAAATCACGTGCGTTCGGTATTCACCGTCCGGTGAATATCTTGCCATCGCAACAAAGACAAATATCCAAATATGGAATCCAGGCAAGAGGGAATGCATCGCAAAGTTTCAGGGACACTTTGCGTTCCATAGAGCATGGAATGCTTCACTTGCATGGACGCCCGATGGCAAACAGCTTGTCTCGACTGGTAACACTATTGATCCCACCATACGGATCTGGAATTCATCGACCTGGGTGCAGGTCGGTGAGCCCTTGAAGGGCCATACTGACGTTGTCTACATGATTGCCTTGAACCCTACTGGCACCCTTCTGGCGTCTGCATCTGCAGACCACCAGGTTCGCCTTTGGGGGCTTTCTGATCGACGAGCCACCGCCATATTCAAGCACACCAATGAGATGTTTTGTGTCACCTTCTCTCCGGATGGCAAGCACATCTTGAGTGGAGGAAAAGATAAAATGATCTCAAAGTGGGCGGTACCTTCGCTGGAGGACATTCCCAAGGACCAGACATCGGATGTAAGATCCTGCTCATTTTCCGTCCCTTCTTCATCTCATTCTCTCCAAGGATGCGTTACGGGAAGACACTTTGAAGGAAGATGTGGCAAATAATGTGAGTTCCCGTTCATTGATAGTTGCATATTGACCCTGAACCTTGATGCTAAGGATAAACAGTCTGATTGCGAGGTTCGTTTCCGGCCTTCATTCTGACCACGCAATCTGACCATGCGTGATGCAGATCCTCGCCATCAGCACGACAGCCCGCAATGCATGCATAACCGGGGACTTGCCTACTGCTGACAGGCTGCTCACCCAAGAGATCAACGCTGATAGCAACGACTACAACTCTTACGCGAATCGCTCATTTGTTATGGCAAGAAAAGCCGACTGGGACCGCGCACTTGATGACGCACTCAAGGTGGGATACACTGTCCCGTCGTGACCTTTTTAACACAGGCTAATTTATATGGCGATATAGAGCATCAGCATTCAGCCATCGTTGATGGGCTGTATCTCCAAGGGCATCGCCCTCTGCGGTAAAAGGCAGTTCCGGGACGCGATGAAAGCATTTGACCTCGCGTTCATATTCGTGGACGCAGACTTGAATAAAACTCGTCTTATACTCTTGATTAAGGTACGTCAATTGTGTCTCGTGTAATCGCTACTTACACGACAGCTGTCAGGCGATCGCCCTTTTTAATGCAGATCAACATGACGAGGCAATTCTGCGCGTCCAAGAGCTAACTACTATTTGTCCAAATGCAAATACTCTTGCCTGTGGCATCGTAGAAGTGAGTGCCCCTGACACAGTCAACTCCAGATTCATGCGTCGATACTGATTTTGCGAACCTGGCACTTCAGGCTTATCTACACGTCCAAGCGGGAATGAATGCATCAGACGACGCACGTCACAACGAAGCGGCTGGCCACTTCACTGCCGCTGTCAACACTATCGGTTTCTCGTCTATGTCGGCCATCCATTCTAAATATGATATCTTTGTGGTGGTACGTTTATTGTGATGTAATATTTTTATTTCGCGTTCAACTGAGTGCTTGCGCAGCTATTCGGGTGGGACCTCGAGTCGTTGTGGCTTACTGCACACCAGCATTGGTGCCGTTCGCTCTTTCGGGAAGGTAGACTTGCAGAGGCCCTCAGATCTTACAGGCAAATGGTGGATCGATGCGATGAAGCTACGAAGGCACGCTGCGTTGACTGGTCCACTGGCAAGTCTTCGTGATGTCAACTGGATATAATGCTCACCTGCATTTCACTCAGCGTTCAAGCAAGATTATAGCGCATTTCATGCTGCCACCGGAGTTGCTGACCTAGCTGCAAAGGGAGATGATGCCCTCTCTGCGGGTAATTACGACCAGGCTATCGAGTTATACTCTGCGGCGATCGACCTCGATTTCGCGACCGATGCCGTTTTTGCGAACCGCAGCAAGGCGAGGTCGGGAAAAATGCTATGGGACGATGCGATTCTAGACGCACAAATGGTTTGATGTCATTTATTATTTCGTAGTCCGTGCTCATTTTGCGAATACATAGGTCATCAAACTGACCCCTTCGTCTCACATTGGATACCAGTTAGAGTATGCAGCACTTCATGGGGCACAACGCTATGACGAAGCGATTGATGCATTTCACACCATGCTCTCGAAGTTTGAAAATGCTCCTGACGCACAAACACAAGGTATGCCCCCAAATAATATCCTTAAACATACTCGACTCTTTCTACAGCGCTGCGCCAACAATACGTCAATCCATCCGAAGCAGAAGGAGCTATTCAAGAGACCATCAAGGCTCAACTCGACGACGCCCCGCATCGTTTGCTTAATACCTTCACTGGGCGCTTATGCGATCGAGTGGTACAGATCGATGCGTTCAAAGCAAGCACAGAGTACAAGGAGCTTTTGTCATCAATATTGGTGCACGCAGATCTCCGAATGGAGCGCATCAAAGATGTCGTGGCGACGTACTTCCGTTGTGTCACGCTATCGCATCGGTGGGAAGGAAAGGAACCACTGCTGCATGACGTCCAGGACAAGGTCGTTGATGAGTTGAAAGCAGTTGGCGGCATCATGAAGTTGCAGTCTTTCTGCAAAACT